TTGACCTTAATTCTAATGAACGGGACCTGCAGGTTGCACTAAACCCAGTGGAGACATCTTGATTTTCAGCAGACACAGACACAGTGTGGGTTTTGTCATCTAGAGTTGGGCAGTCAATTATGCTTGGGCCACTGTGGGCAAGAAAGACACTGAGGTGCTGGAGCGTGTCCAGAGAAGAGCAACAGAGCTGAGGAAAGGTCTGGAGCACAAGTGTGATGGGGAGTGGCCAAGGAAGCTGCGGGGGTTTGGCCTGGAGAAAAGGCGGCTCTGTCACATGCTGGCTTCCTTTCTGCTCTGGCCTACCAAGAGTGGTTATCATACACTTCCCCCTGATCTGCTGGACTTTCAGGAATTGCATTCCCTGTCTGACTCCTTAGAGCACGGGGTAAGTTTAATAGTGGGAAACCTGCTGAAAATAGATCTCAGTCAACTAACTGGAAATCCTAAAAATAGAAGTACTCTCTGTTTCTTTTTGCCTTCAGTCAAACTAAGTTAGTAGATTTAATAGCATGGAACTGAACTGTGTGCAAACAACTCTTCCCCTTTGGAATGATTTCACAGCAAGACAGACCAGAGTCCAGGTCTGCATGGTTATCCACAGGGTCACAGGGACAACCTGCTGCTGCAGCCAAAGACACTGTGGAATCACAGAAAGACAAACTTCTCCAGCTCGGGCCACATCTCCAGGGTCTTTGTGGACTCTTCCCAAGTTTGACAGTTCTGCCTTCCTACTGTTGCCTTGCATTTGCTGAGGCAGTTGGACTAGATGACCTCTCCATCCAAAATGATCCAATGATCCTGGGAGGATGCTGTCATGGTTTTAGCAAGGCCCAAAATCCAATTCTGATTCCTAGCCCCCCTCCCACATCTCAACCCCATGTCAGATGGGTTTTCCAGACAAAAACACGAGACTCAATATGGGGGGAAGGAATATATTACAAAGACTATACACATAAATAAACACTATAATACACTGCATACAATCTTAACTCTATATCTATCTCTACCATGACAATAATATTTACAGTGGGCCAAATCTCTTCTCCCTCCAAATAAAAGTCCAGGAGAGAAGAAGAAGAAAAGACCCCTTCCAGTCTCTGAGCAGCAGGTCTCTCTAGGCAGCAGGCTCTCCTCTTCCAGGCAGCAGTAGTAGTTGCTGGCTCTCTGCCAGCACACACGAGGGGATCTCCACGCCCCTCGGCCCTCCGTCCTCAAAACGGGGGTCTTTCCGTGGACTGCTTGACCCCAGACACGGTTGCGCCACCACGGTCATATCACGAAGCACCGGGGTCTTCGTGACGGTCTGCTGCCCCTGGGCCATCAAAGTGGTGCTGAGGCCTCTTTCAGCCCAGCCCTGGGTGCAGTTTTCTCATCCCCTCACTGAGTACCCCCTCCCCCAGCCGGCACTGACCAACCAGGGCATGTGGCACACTTGATTTGGTGGTTAGGATAAACAGCCTTGGACTGGCAGGGGGCCAGAGAACCTCGAGGAACAGCCCTGGCAAGGTGCCTGCACTGGCAGGGGGCCAGGGGATCACTGCTCCACGGAACCGGCTGGAGCTCTGGGTGAGCCTGAGCTGAAGGGACTGTGACCTGTGGATGAGTCCAGGATGGAGCAGAGACCCCCCTGCAGCCCGGGAGGAGCCCACACTGGAGCAGGGGATGCCCAAAGGAGGTTGAGAGCCCATGGGAAGCCCCTGCAGAGCCGAGGGAGCAAAGCCCTGGTTTCCAGGACTGCCCCCCCACCCCAGTTTGTTTTTGGTAGAGTTTTTTTGGTCTAATCTTCATATTTTGGAGTATTTTTTAGCCGAATCTCAACTTTTTGCAGTTTGAGGGGGCAGGGTTCTTCCTGCTATTTTTGAGGGGCTTTTATCTGAATGTCGGTGGTTTGGGTTTTTCTGGGCTGAGTCTTGGTGTTTTGGAGGTTTTTATGGACACAGGATGCCCAGTGAGTTCTAGAGATGGACTTGGGCAGGAAGAACCCCCAAGCCAACACGCTCAGCCCTTGTTTTCCCCCCGTCAGGATTTGTCCTTCCCAAAGCTTGGGCAGATGGAGGAGGAGGCTGCAAGGAAGAGGAAGATGCCTCAGGCCCCCCAGGCAGGTGAGGAGGAAGTCAGTGGCCCTTTGGGCGGGTGTTGTGCTGGCTCTGGCAGCCGAGCATGGCCCCCGGCTGCAGGACAACCCCACTGCCGCCGCCGTCCTGCCGGGGCCAGAGTTGGGGGGATGTCCTTGGCCTTCCTTCTGGGCCGGAGGCAAATCCCCTCCCTGTCCTTCTTGCTTCCTGCCCCAGGCCCCGAGCTGAGGACGGAGAGCCCAGAGGACAAATCCCCCCGGCAGAAGCTGGTGGGAGAGGCCATTTTGAAGGGCTCCACGGTGCAGGAAGGCAGCAGAGAGGAAAAGGGCCAGAGATCCCCCCTGCAGGAGGGGCTCCAAAGGCAGCCCAGGGTGCTCTGAGGAGGAAAGACCCAGCCTGTGCCGGGAAGGCAGCCGGAGCTTGAGGCGGGGTTGTGACCTGGTGGTCCCTGAGCAGCCTCCCAGCAGGGAAAAGCCCTTCTGGTGCTTGGAATGTGGGAAAAGCTTTAGGAAGAGCTTCAACCTCCTCACCCACCAGCACATCCACACTGGGGAATGGCCCTACACATGTGGGCAATGTGGGAAGAGCTTCAGCCAGAGGTCCCACCTGATGTGACACCAGATGATCCACACTGGGGAACGACCCTACACATGTACGGAATGTGGGAAGAGCTTCCGCCAGAGCTCAACACTCCGCATCCACCAGCACATCCACACTGGGGAATGTCCCTACACGTGTAGGGAATGTGGAAAGAGCTTCAACTACAGCTCCAGACTCTGCAGACACCAGCTCATCCACACCGGGGAACGGCCCTACAAGTGCTCGGAATGTGGGAAGAGGTTTCAGACCAGCTCAGATCTCCTGAAGCACCAGCGGATGCACACAGATGAGAGGCCCTTCCGCTGCACCGACTGCAGGAAGGGCTTCAAGTACAACTCCCACCTCATCGTTCACCAGCTCATCCACACTGGGGAACGGCCCTACAAGTGCTTGGAATGTGGGAAGAGGTTTCAGACCAGCTCAGATCTCCTGAAGCACCAGCGGACGCACACGGATGAGAGGCCCTTCTGCTGCACTGACTGCGGGAAGGGCTTCAAGCGGAACTCTCACCTCGTCAGGCACCGGCGCATCCATACCAGGGAGAGGCCCTACAAGTGTGGGGAGTGTGGGAAGAGCTTCACCAACAGCTCTGCCTTGACCTCACACCAACGAACCCACCAGTAAAGGAAGCCCTACCAGTGTCCCAACTGCGGGAAGAGCTTCCGTTGCTTTTTCCACCCTGAATGAACCCCCTGATGGTGAGGCAACCCCTGGAGTCCAGTGACTGTCAGTCCATCCCTTTCTACCACAAAGGGCCAGTCCCCTTTCACGGTGGTACGTTCTTTCAACAGAACCTAACTTAGTGGTGTGTGGAGATTCCTGCCTTGGCTGGGGACCCCCTCAAAGTCAGTCTTTGAGGCTGAGAGCAGAGATCTCCCCATGAGCGTTGGTCTGGGGGAGTTCCATCCATCTCCAATTAAGAATTTTTGCTTTTGTGCCAGCTTTAGTAGAAATGCTTCAACAATTGCTTTAGTGTAGAGCACTGTCCTATCTTATGCTGTACTACTGGTAGTTTTAGTGTTTCTCTTGTGCAGTAAATAATTCTGATGAAGATCTTATCTCTGATCATTTGTGACCCCAAATAATTCATTTCTATCAATAGATCTGACTTGCCATCATTAAAAGCTGGGGGACAAAAGTGTTTCAGTCACACCTCTGTAATTCCTCTAAACTGAAAGTGTTGGCATAATCAAAGGCTGAGATTGGATCCAGCAGCCCCCAGCACCCCACAGGAAGTTGGGAGCTCAGGGGGGCCACCCCTTTTGCCAACCCTCCTCTGCCCAAAGACCCCCATGGGACCATCCATCCTGCCAGACTACCCTCCCTTTTCCACCCTTCTCCCTGTTCCTCCAGTTTTTTCATTGTCCTCTTAATCCACAGCCCCCCCCAAGATCAGTTTATGATTCCCAACCCCCAGTTTTTTCCTCCCTCTCCACCCCTTCCACATCATCCCCCCACTCCCCAGCCCTCTCATGCTCAGTTTGGGGGTCCCACCTTGCCCTTCCCCCGCTCTTCTTGTTGCGGCCCACAGTGAAGTGGCCGTGCCGTGGCCGAGCGACCGACAGCAGGGATTGGTGGCGGTGAGAGGGCAGCGAGGCAGCGGGAGAGCAGGAGAGAGCCCCTCGCTGACATCACAGACACCCCTGAGAGCGCCAGCGGCTGCAACCCCGCGCTGGGCTGCGAGAGCGGGAACAGCCCGGCACAGCTGCAGCAGCAGCGAGGCAGCCCCGGGACAGAGCGGGAGCAGGGACCGTGCGGGAGCCGGGGCTGGGCAGCGGGAGTGGCGGAGCCGGCCCGGGAAGCGGCGGGAGCGGCGGAGCCGGCCCGGGAAGCAGCGGAGCGGCGGCAGACCCGGCGCGGCAGTCGGGAAGAGAGGGAAGGGGAGGCGAGGTGCGAGCCTGGCCTCCGGTGTCCCCCCGTGTGGGCGGCTTTCTGTGAACCCCCCGCTCTCGGAGGCAGCCGCTGGGACAGGGCTTGTCCTGGCACGGGACGCCAGGCTCGGAGTCGGCAGCGGCCGGAGCAAAGCGGCACCACCCCCAACCTTCTTTTCTTTTTTCTTCACAGCCCGAGTTAGCTATATTGAGATTTGGGTTTAGTTCCTTTACAAGTTCTTTGTTCATATGCCAGTTAAACCTGACTGCTTCAGGCAAACAGAACGCTGCCAATGGAGAGGTAGCAGATTTTTTTTCCTTTTTTCTTTGCAGCCTGAACTAAGAACTATTCTTTCTATTTTGCAAAGCCTTTTTATTCATGTAGTAACTAACCTAACAGTTTAATTTCAGTGCGTGGACGCTGCCAGCAGAGAGACAACAGGACAACCCTTTTTTCCCTCACCCCCCACCTCCAACTAAGAGAAAAAAAGGGGGAATACAGAAGAGCAGGTTCAGGAAATGGCCTTGCTAGCTGTTTTCTGAAGTTGTTTACCTGAAGTAGCCAAAATTGTTTTGAGATGCAAGCATAAGCATAACAAAGAAATGAAGTTTTTAAAGTTTTTTGCAATAACTATCGACAAGTTCTCTTTAAAATCCAAAGCCTGTTAACATAAGGAGATGTATGTTTTCTTTTAAAAATAGGAGTATATATTTTATCTTTGAAGTATAGGAATGTTTATATATTTTTGAATTTAATTTGAACATGAAACAGAAAAACGTTTGTATTTACAGGAAATATTTTCATTAAACCAGAAATACATGATTAGATCTTACTCATCTGAGGGCAAAACACAAGAATAATTTCTCAGTTCATAACCAGAAAACACAGTACCATGAAACTCAAAAGTATGTTTGTGTGAGAATATAAAGTGATGGCCATCACGCATGAAAGTTGTGTGAGTGTGTGTATGTGTGTGGATAGATATGTCTACTTTTGCTCACAAATACACAAACGCCCTTAGATTAAAAGCAGATAACATATAACATATGACCCTGAGTTAAACAGAATTTCATTTGCAGAGATATTTTAGGTTAAATAAAAGTTTTAAAAAATAAACCCTAAAAAACATTTTCAGGTAAAAGTCAGGAGCACACGAACCCTGAAGTCATCAAGTTATTAAGTTTGATTCGAAGTCATTTGCTTATAATAAAGTATTAGAAGGATAACTTAAATAAGTTCTGATAGGGAATAATGGGAATAAGTTAAGTAGTTTGTATAAACTAACTAAACATGTTTAATATTAATCCATGGTTATTTAATTTAGCATTGTTTGGAATTTTTCCTTTTTGCATTTTGTTCCTTGTTTACTTTTCTATATCCAACAAATGTTT